AGGCTCCCTGTGCGCCGGAAGCCCTCCTTCCGGGGAACAACGAGGCCAGGAGTACCATGATGCTCTTTACGTTGTTTCTGTGAGAACAAAGGTTTCCCTGTCTTCCCCTAGTACACTGAGAGAGAGACAGACAGTCACTGTGTGCACATGAGGAAAGTATATAAAACTCCTGCACATAAGGAAAGTATATCAAATTCCCATGGCAAGGTATTTTCTGAGCTACAGTCCTCGTGTGAAAAAAAGAATAACACTGGCCCCTTAACAGGGCCAAGAACCATAACTCTAACGACTTTATAATGGTGAACTTCCACACAAAGACTTTTTAGGGTGATCTAGACGTTTAAATAATTTACCCATAGTTATGTGGCTACTTAGAAGCAAAGCGAAATACTCTTATATTTTGCTGGGGTTTTTCTGTCTTTTTGAGACAGGGTCTCGCTCTGCAGTTCAGGCTGGCCTTGAGCTCACTCTGTAGCCCAGGCTGGTCTTGAACTCAATCCTCCTGCCTCAGCCTCCCGAGTGCTGGGATTATAGGTGTGCGTCACCACACCCCCCTGTTTTGTATTTTGTTTTTAATGTCTTATTATCTACAAAGAATTTTTCAAAGCTCTGACTGCATGTGTTTGAAGATGTCTACTTATTGGTGTTATAAGGCTAATGACTCAGGCTCAACACAGGGAAAGACCCCTAATATTTTCAGGGCAAACAGTATGAGCCATGGGCTGTCTGCCTCCTGAGGGCTGTGGGGAAGTTTGAGCTGATTCATTCTGCCACTGCAGGAGCCCTGAGCACACTCCCAATGCTGGCTTGTGAGGCACAGGCTTCAGATCTGCAGCCTTGTGCTACCAAGGAGTATGTCTGCTCCTGTTGTAATTTTAATTACAAATGTGAGAGCTGTGCAGGTTTCAGATCAGAGACCATGGCAGGAGTGGTGAACAAGCCATTTTAGGCATTTCTTATTTTCTCACTACGGGTTCCTATCAGACAAATGCCTTCAGGTTATATTTCTCAGACCTTATTACAGTGAGTACTTTATGCATTAAAATAAGCTAGGGACATTTCAGCTGTTAGATTTCAACACTAAATACTGTACAAGACTCGTTGAACCTCAGCCTAGGAGAAGATGGACAATCTCTTTGGGGCCCCGAGAGGCAGCGCTGAAAATATCTCATTGGTAAGTGCTGCCAAGACTGCTTGTAAAGACCAAAGGTGTTATGATTTCCCTTGCACTACACAGCCAGTATTGTCATTTTGGCTTTCTAAAAGGAGATACCAAAACAGAGATTTTTTTGGGGGGGTGGGGGATACACTGTGTAAAAGATATATGGAGCAGGAGCAGGAATAGGTGAGAAGTTCCAGCCTCCAAGGTCTGACACCTTCAAAAGGAGAAAGGGAAGGAAGGATTGGCTAAAAAAAAAAAAAAAAAAAGCTTCATCCCTCAGGGAGTACTGAGAGAGTCTCAGGTGGGGAGTCCTCCAGGTGGGTAAGAGTCCCCCACTGGACTGAAACGGCCCAGCTCTAGGGGTGCCTTCATGTTCAGTCACTGGCCAGGGGCAGCCTAGGCAGGAAAGCACGGCCAAGGCCTGCGCACGATGGCAAACTCAAGGGGTGATAACCGGAGCCTGCCAGCCCATTACGCTCCCCACAGCAGGTTCACTTACGTAGTGCACCTCTGCAGCCGCCACCACTGTTTAGCCTTCACTTCTAGAAATAGTCTCCATTTGATTTTAGTTTACCTTGAATTTTCCTTTGCTCTCCCAAACCACCTGTACAAATTTTCTAGTCCTTGATCCTAGTTGCCATCAGAGAAATGAACATTGCTTTGGATCACAGCTCAGCTTTCTCTTCTCCAGGTTAGATAACTCCGTTGCTTCACGGCTCTCCTTTGAGGCCTCTTAAGGTCTGCACAACTGCAACCTGCACTTTTGTGTGTGCAGGCTGCTCTCTGAGAGGCAATTTACTGTTATACTGATTCAGAACATAGACTTTGGTGATAGATGTCAGGCAGCTCAAGTTCCAAATTTGCCACCTAATGCCTCTGAGACCTTGTGCAAGCATCTCAATTTTCTCATCATCACTTTCCTCATTTGTAAAATCTGAAGAACAATAGCATTGACCTGTAGGGTTAAATGAGATAATGTGTGTACGTGCAAAAAGGCCTTGGCAGAATACTGTAAGTTAATCCATGAACATCAGCATAAGGTATTATTAGCATTGTACCCACTCCTCAGCCTAATTAATAAAATGACTTTTGTTGCTGGCTTATACCTGAGTTGTGGCCCACTGGCCTTGAGATACTTTTGCTCCTGATTTGTTCACAGTAGGTATCTAGGGGTGTGACTGTTTTGGTTTTTCCTTTGTGAGTGTACCATACTATTTTTATTCTTGCTCCTTGAGCCCCTGCCTTTCTGAGCTTTTCTGCAACAGTCTGTTCTGGGAATCCATGAAAAAACATTTTAAAAAAATATTTTGGTTTGTCTTCACTTTCTTTGTGTGTGTGTGTGTGCGTGTGTGTCTGTGTGTGACAAGACAGAAGAAGCTGCCTTTGTCATTGTTGAAATAGCCCACCTTCTAAATTCATAGCAATTCCTAGGTTTTTAGGAAATTGCCATAGTTACAAAATGGTCCTTGTTCATGAAAAACAATATAATGAAAGGTAATGTGAAGCCCTCGAATCGCTTGATTATGACCCTAATTTGATGCTCTTCTACTGCCAGTAATCTGGAGGAGAATGGGAAGTTGCCAGCCCACTTCAGGAATACTAATAACTAGCACATCATTTTGAGGTTCTGTGACATTTCATTTATCGCAAAGAGATTTCATGCTCATTGTCTTATTTGCTATTCAAACCAAAGGAAGAGTAGGCTGAGCAAGATTTACTGTGCTTACTTTGGAGGAAAGTAATATACTGAAATGAATAATTTGCCCAAGTCATATGAGAGGCTATTGACAGTGCCAGAAATAATTGGATCTCCAAATTTACAACAGGAGGCTTTGCAGTTTAGTCAGACTGTTAAATATGGAAGGATAGGGCTACCCACTCAGAATAGGGACACAGTGCTCCAATCTCTCCTACCATCACGGGGACTAGGACCCCACACCTCTGTAGCAGCCTCACTCTGGTCCACAGTAGTGTGAGCCAATTCCTTTTCTTTTAATTTTAAAGAGAACAAGAAAATAGAAATGATACAGAATTTCAAAACGAGATGATAGGAAATTAACAATGGTTAATATATTCCATATTGTTATCTTCAAAGTAGTTGCTCAGATTACAAGATATAGGCATGCAAGATTGATCAAACAATGTAAGAACTGACTGTTCCTTTCAATGAAGTAATAGAAATTAGTAGTACAATTATCTTAGATATCTTTGTGTGTGTGTGTGTGCGTGTGTGTGTGTGTGTGTAGTCCCCTTTCCTTCTTTTTTCCCTTCTCCCAGCCTAGTTGTTCTTTCCTTTTGAACTGTTTCTTTCCCTTTCACAATATCTATTGTACCTTTTGGATCTTATTTACTCTTTCAGTTTCTTACACTAGGGAGACAATATGATATTTACACATATGAGTCTGATTTATTTCACTTAAGAGTATGATCTTTAGTTACATCCATCTACCTATAAAATCCTCAGGTTTATCCTTCTATAATTGAGTAGAACACCATTGTATAAAAACACCACATTTTTTTTTAATCCATTCCTTAGTTGATGGGCATTCAGGTTTTTTCCAGTATTTAGCTGTGACAAATTGTGCTGCTATAAACATGGGTACCCATATATCACTGTGGTATGATTTCAATTCTTCTGGAAAAATACCCAGAAGGGAAATAGCTGGGTTGAATGGGACCACCAATCCTAGTTTTGTGAGGAATCTCCACACTGATTTCCACAATGGTTGTACCAATCTATACTCCCAACAGTGGAGAAGGGGGTCTTTTCCCCCACAACTCTGCCAGCATGTTATTGGTTGATTTTTTGATGACAGCCATTCTTTCTGGGGTGAGATGGAATCTCAGTGTTGTTTTAATTTGCAGTTCTCAAATGACCAATGATATTGTACATTTTTTCATATATTTATTTGCCATTTGTATTTCTTCATCTGAGAAGTGTATTCATCTCAGATACCTATTTTTGGATTGGGTCTTTGAACTAGAAGGGTCTGATTTTTAAAAATTCTTTATATGTTCTAGATAGAAGTCCTTTGTCTGAGGGACAATTGCCTAAAATTTTTTCCCAATTCGTGGGTTTTCTTTTCACTCTGTTGATGATTTATTTTGATGTGCAAGAACTTTTTAATAAGATAAGATCCCAGTTGTTGATTCTTTGAAGTATTTCATGTGTAGTTTGGTTTTTGTTCATGAACGCTTTGCCTACCCCTATGTCTTCAAGATTTCTACCTACTTTCTCTTCCAGCAGATTTAGTGTTTCTGTTTTAATATTTAGATCTCTGATGCATTTTAACTTTAGTGTAGTGCATATAATAGATATAGATCTAGTTTTAGTTTTTGGCATGTGGAAAGTCAGTTTTTCCAGCACCATTTATTAAAGAGGCTGTCTTTCTCCCAGTGAAGTTCTTTGGCCCCTTTGACAAAGATAAGGTGGCTAAGTGTGTTTGTATTTGTGTCTACATCTTCTAAACTGTTCCACTGATCCTCAGGTCTATTTTTTTTTTTTTTTTTTTTTTGCCAGTACCAGGCTGTTTTTTTATCACAGTAGCTTTGTAGCACAATTTGAAGTTAGAGATTGTGATGTCTCCTGCCTTGCCTTTGTTGACCAGGATTTTCTTTGCTATTCCAGGTCTCTTCTGGTTCCAGATGAATTTTAGGAAAGTTTTCCCTAGATCTGTGAGATATGTTAATGGTATTTTGACTGGGATTGCCTTAAATCTGTTTAACAGTTTTGGGAGTACGGCCATTTTCACAATGTTGGTTCTTCCTATCCAAGAGCAAGGAATATCTTTCCATTTTCTGAAATCCTGTTAAATATCTTTTCAGAGTACTGTAATATTCAATCTGTAGATCGTTTACTTCTTTTGTTAGATTGATTCCTAAGTATTTCACTTTTTTTGACACTATTGTGAAGGGTGTTGTTTCTCTAATTTCTCTCTCAGTGAGTTTGTTGT